GGTCACTATCAGGAGGAACCAGGGTCACTATCAGGAGGAACCAGGGTCACTGTCAGGACGAACCAGGGTCACTATCAGGAGGAACCAGGGTCACTATCAGGAGGAACCAGGGTCACTGTCAGGAGGAACCAGGGTCACTGTCAGGAGGAATCAGGGTCACTGTCTGACAAAAGGGTCACTGTCAGGAGGAACCAGGGTCGCTGTGAGGAACCAGGGTCGCTGTAAAGAACCAGGGTCACTGTTGGGGAGCAGGGTCACTGTTTGGGACCAGGGTCACTGTCAGGAGGAACAAGGGTCTCTGTCGGGGAGCAGGGTCACTATCAGGAAGAACCGGAGCTAGCTGGGAGTCAAATGGAGTGAAACATTTTAGATTAGCACCCGATCCTCCAGACTGCAGGCTTGATCATAAAACATGATTTTAGTGATGGAGGATCCTGTTATTCTGATGGTTAGTTCAGTCATCAGTAATCCAATAACTGTTGCAACTTAAGATGGAAGAAATATACATCTCACACCATCTGCTGGTTGGCGTTTTCAAGACACAGCAGAAGATTTCCTACTTTTTAATCCAACATATGGTGAAGGTTGTTTCCTTCTTTTCTGGTCACCATCATCAGCAGACGTTCCTAAATGACTGAAGTCTGTAAAGGTTGTGATGGAGAAAGGGCGACTTATTGGTGCGTTCATTTTCCTTTTTTAATTGGGCTGAGCTTTGTCGACCTTCGACAAGGATGGCTCCCACTGCTGCAGGGATTGTGGGGCTGCCCTCCAGGCAGAGGATGGCCAAGACCTGTTCCCTACCTGCCTTGGAAGTGAGCATCTTGTGTGGCGTGCTCTGCGCACTCCTCCATGAACTGTAATGTCATGCCCCATGCAGTGAGGGTTGCTTGTTTGGCCCAGTTGTGCCCCCAGGAGGGATCTGACCTTCTGCCTTTTGGGCAGTTGGCTTCCCCCAAGCGTTGTAAGCACCGTGGTGGGACCGCGGTCTTGATGACCAACTCACTAAGGAAGCGGGCCAAACTTGATCAGGGCATGTCCACTTGGGTGGAGCAGTTGTCGGCGGAGTTGGCTTGCTTCCAGTGGCTGGGATCTCTTCCCCACCCATGTCCGAACTGGTTGTGGAGGATGACGTCTTATCTCTGGCGGATTCTTCTCATATTAAAGCTGAGAAGGACGCAAAGATCTTTCAAGCCTCTGAGAGGGGTTTGTTTTCATCTCAGAGTACAGTTGGAGAGGCCAGTGACTGTTCCGTGCGGGAGGTCATGTCTATGGCCCCTAAGCAGCTGCAACTCCCACAAGGTGTGGTATCTGACTCCAGGAGTGCATTTTTCAAATGCAGACGGGCTCCTACTCCCTTTTCTGTACCTCCATCAGAGGAGTACCTGAAGGAGTTGCATGCCTGTTAGTGGGAATTAAGGGCATTATCATGTCTCTCCTCAGACGATTGGGTGTTAGCTGCCATGCCAGTCAGTGAAGGCGGGCCTGGGCCGTATGCCAGCAGTTGAACGAGCTGTCACTTCGCTGATTGGGTCACCAGAAGAAGCCCTGGGTCTTGATGTGAGGTGCCTGCGGAGTCAGTGTCGGGTCACAGATGACCTCCTGTGTAAAACATACAATGCAGGATCACATGCTGGCCGCCTTGGAAAAACCCTTGCGCACCTCATGTTTGCACTTTCTGCGTCTGTTCAGGATGCTGGCAGTGCTACTGCGACGGTTGGTTTTAGTAATGCGACGCAACGTTGCAGACCTTTGCCTGATGACCAGAGAGCTTGGCCGTGTCATGTCTTTCCTTGTCCAAGTTCATAGACAGGTCTGGCTTGCTTGTCTCCTCTAACCGTCAGATATTTTTCCCCATCAGCAGCTGATTTCTGGGTTGCTCATACTGCATATCTATGGGTGGTTGCCACCCTTACCAATGGCTACAGGCTCCAGTTATGACGATGGGTGGTTTTTGCCCCATTTAGACCGCAGAGGACACAATGGCTGACACAATGACATCAGTCACTCATGTTGTGCCCTTAGGTTTGCTACTTCTCCATCCTTTGCAGCGGTGGCTCAACAGCTTTCGCCTAGACGCCAGGCTGCACAGGCATCACAGGCTCATGGTGACGAGGATGTGCCTTCCTGCCCTAGCTGCTTGGCGAGACGGGACCCTTTTGTACAGTGGTGTTCCAATGGGTTTGGTGGTGATTCGAAGGGAAGTGGTCACCACAGATGCCAGCCCCATTGGTTGGGGTGCCGTGTGGCAACACAAAGCATTTTGGGATCTCTGAGATCCAAGGGCTGTGCACAGATCGAGCTGCGAGCTGTACAGATGGCCTTCAGGTGCCATGCGCAAAGGCACTAGGAGGCACCAGGTCGGCACGTCTCCTGATGGTATCCAGGTATCTCCTGGAATGGGTGTCTCCTGGTCTGTCCACCCTGCACGCAGCATATCTGCCAGGATGGCGGAAACAGGTTGCGGACTCTATCCCCCCAGGCATCTGCTCCAGGAGAGTGGTCTCTTCATGGCGACGTAGTGTGCATGATCTGGAACTAAGCGTGGCCATGGTTCCCGCTGCTTTGTAATCTGTGTCGCAGTACTCCACGGCGTCTTCCAGCAAAGAGGGATCTGCTGTCTCAGTTTGGGGGACAAATATGGCACCCCAACCCTCAACATCTCCAGCTATGGGCATGGCCCTGGGAGGCTGACTTGGTGTTCAGGCCCTATCAGACACACCATATTGAGTGCTAGGGTGCCCTCCACTCAGCTGCAGTATGATAAAAGATGGCGTCTCTTTTCTCAGTGGTGCTCTGCCCGCAATAAGAACCCAGTTTCCTGCTCGGTGCCCACTAATCTGGAGTTACTCCAGTCTCTTCTTGATAAGGGCCGCTCTCCTTCGACCCTTAAGGTGTATGTTGCAGCGATCTCATGTCATCACATATCTGTTGATGACCCTACAGTAGGGCGCCATGAACCGGTGTCTTGTACCGGTTGAACCGGTTGCTCGTAGGTTTCACCCGCAGCCGGTTTCACGAGTGCCAGATTGGGAACTGCCATTGGTTCTCGCGGCTCTGTGCCAGTCAGTGTGAGGGCACATTCCACCAGCAGCATTTCCGCTTCCTCTGTGGCTTTGAGAGGGGTCATTCCGTTTGAGAGGGGTCCCAACTGGAAGCAATATGTGTTGCTGCTTCATGGGCTTCCACGATCACCTTCACAAGGTTCTACAGTGTCAATGTGGCTGACCCTCATCCTCTGGGTCAGGTTCTTTTACAAGGTTCTGCTGGGCCTTCTCAGTGAGGTATGTGCTCAGGATTCCTTGTGACATCGTTGGCATTAGTCATTCAGTGGTTTCAGCACCACCCTCTGGTGGTCAGTAGGGATGAAATAGAAAGAAAGTTACGTATGTAACTACGGTTCTATGAATCCCGGATGACAACCAGAACCACTCTGTCACTCAGAATCCTTGCTTTAAGAGAAGATTCTGTAGGAACAGAGGCAAGGATGAGACCAGGCTTTGGAGCTTCTGAATGGTCATCTGGTGTCACAGTTGGGACTCTGTTGGTATAATTACTGGAACTGCGCATGCCTGAAGGGAACATTTAGGGCTTTCAGCACGACTCTTCCAGATTGTATAGGTATATTTTAGGTTTTAGCTCATAGAAAAGCGTAGCCTTACGTCTTTGTTCCACTTATGGACCAGCAGGGTGGAGGAGAGGAAGGGAACTCTGACTCCCTAATGATTCATAGATCGTCACCATGGAAACCTGGCCTATTCAACAGGACCAACATTAACACCATCTCCTAGTAATACAGAAAAATGAATGCTTCCACCAGTGAATGGGTTGATAGACCTACATGGACTTGATGGACTCAGTCTGAACCAAGTCTAAGGAAACTTTAGGCTGAGATGATCTCTGTCCGTCTCCTTGGTAACCTGCTCCCTCCTGCTGTAGTCTGTGTGTTGTCATGGAGAACATGGTCCTCAGCTGATCATCAGTTATCGGTCATTTGTCCACCAGGGGGTCGTTCCTGACTAAGAAGCAGGACCAGGCAGCCAGGAAGATCATGAGGTTCCTGCGGCGCTGCAGACACAGGTAAGGGAGGGGCAGCGAGGAGACTCTTCCTCCTCAGCATCACTTCCTGCTTCTCATGTCTGATGTTCTTCTGCAGGATTAAGGAGCTGAAACAGACGAGGGAGCTGGAGAGGAGAGGACTGACCACATAGAGCCTCCAGAGAGAGACGACAGGAGGACAGAGGGATGCAGGAGGGACAGAGGACAGACAGGGGATGATGGACAGATGGACTCAGAGATGTCTCTCCTTCCTCCAACTCATCATCCCTCTGTGGACTGTTTGTCTGCAGCTTGATAAGCTCCGCCCACTAAGGTGGTGCTCCTCCTCCTCCTCCTCCAGGAGGTGAACCCATCTGCTCTCTGACTGTAGAACCAGGACCACCTGCTGGCTGGAGGCTCTCAGAGCGCAGATGGTCCATCAGATTAACTCCTGGCTCCACGTCTGGATTCCTTTAGTGACGTTTCTAATGACAGGCTGCTGAGCTCCAATCAGAGCTCCAGGAAACATCTGCATGTCTCCACCAGGCCTCCCAGTCTGTCTGGATCAGTGAGAGACTGGGAGGCTGAGCAGACCAGCTCAGATCCAGACAGAACCAATGGTCTGAATGGTTCAGTGGAGCTCAGAGATCTTCTCTATGGATCAAGAAGTGGAGAAACACGGAGAAGCAGAGATGTTCTGAGGATGGACACCTTGGATCTATTACAGCATGAACTGTTGTTGTCAGCGTGGAAAGGGTTGTTTGTTTGTGTGTTTGCAGCACTGACTGAAGTCTTAACCTCCTCCTCAGTTGGACCTGAAATCTAAATGTTCCTTTCCTCAGCTTTGCAGGAGTTTGTGTCTGAAACCCTGAGATATTTGGTTCTGACAATAAATCAGCCGTTTACTCTTCATCTGTTTATTTCTAAAGCAGAAATGAACAATACATGCTTTACACAGACTGTTTATTCAGATCCTTTGGTAAAATTAAAGGTTGAAAAGTTTCTATCAAGGAAAAACAGCTAATTGCATCCAGTCATTGACTTTGAGGACAGGCTCCTCCTGGATATACATCTGTTTTTAATATTAATCAGAACTCAGCTTATTTTATTTATCTTATTTATAAAGAATCCCATTAAATCATTACTTCTAAGAGCAGGTGGAATGGACGGTTCAACAG